CCTACGCCGACGGCCAGAGGCCCGCGCATCTACATTTTTTCGCCTGACCCCATCAGTGCCGACCCAACTACACCACCACGCGCATGCCTCGCGGCGGATATGCGCAGCAGCAAGAAGGTTTCGGTCATCCCTTGAGGGTGAGTCTAGCCCTGCTCGCCAGAAAGACACCCCCCTTCACTACAACCCATGTCTAAGGAAAAGCTTGTGGAGGAGCGAGGGAAGAAGGGAGGATATTTGTGTTGTGTGTCGCACCCTATTAGTAGGACATGCAATCTCCCATCAGTTTACAAACATATTCTCAGTTTGGTATGCATATGTGCGGAGTATGTGCGGCTGATGTGCCATCTCTATCATAGAAAAGAGTCAGAGACAGATTAACAATGGAATCATAGGGTCAGAGAAAACTACCTGTATGTCTACGATTTCCTAGACAGCATATAGGAACAACTCTCGGGTGACAGGCTCGAAAGATCAGTTTGGTAGCTGTCTTGTGTGTCTCATATATGTTATGTTGTGGAATTTCATGTCGTTGAATGTGAGAAGGGCTTTTTCTGTCGCTTATTTCTTCTTTTTTTTTTCGGCCTGATCCCTCCTTGTCTTTTTCGTTTCATTTTCTCTTTCCCGATTCCTACTTATTTTCTTCTTTTTTTTTTCTGTGCCAGATGGCCTTGTCTCTGCTTGCGTCGCCAAGATTGAACCAAGGGGGTGTACCTCTTTCTCTCCGGCCCGTGATGGTGACTCTTAGTCTCGGTTGTTACCTCGCATTGCGCGCAGAGGGAGTGGAGGACTCCAGAATATCTGTCAATGATTTCTATTGACTTGCGGACCTCGGGGCTGTGTACCTTTTAAGGGTAAGTTAGCCTGCGGCCACCGGAATCGACCGCGTCGAGTGTTGGATCAGCACGGACATACGAAGGTACTAGGTAGAGAGAGATCGGTACGGTTTTCAATGTGAAGACAACAACACCAACATTCAATGTGAAGACAACAACACCAACAACTCTATGGTACCAATGGCGGCGATCTAGGGTTTAGTGTACGCTGTACAGAGTATGTCGGGGTAAACCGGTTCTCAAGCAAGTTCTCTGGCTTAAGTTTCCGAGGCTCACAAATGTTGATGCGTTGGCACCGTTATTGGCGCTCTTTCGCACACCTATGTACGACTGCTACCTACCGTCGACGAGTAAATCCAAAGAGGCACTAAGCTACACGACGAGCCTGTCGCTGCCACAGCAGTCTGGTATATGCTTGCCTTCATGATGACACACACGCACCCACAAACTAGCTTCTTAGACTTGTACACCACAAGCTACGCATACCGCAGCGCTACCAATGTTGGACGTACACCATATTTATTTTTCGGCTGTTGTGCGTTGGTTCGATAGCCTGTGCGCCTGTGCGCCAACTTTTGTGGCCACACGGATTATTTTCGTCATTTGGCCTTTCAACCTTGAGAGATGAGCCAGCGGTCAGAACGATTTACAACGTAAAAAAAGGAGCTGCAGCGACACCGACACCCCCGAGGAAATAACCGCCCCCACACGTGGAGTACTACGTTGAGGTGTGATGTGGGATCGTGGGATACGACACGTTCTTTTCTTTTGCTATTGCAGACAGACTCCCGTCCCACCAAGAGGTTCAAAAACATTCGAAGCGCACTCACGGTGCTTTTGACCCCTCGACCGCCAAAGATGCGTTCCTACCAAGCACGGTCGCGCTCCGAAGCGCCTGCTCTGTTCGTGGTTGTCCAGCCGCGGCGTCAACGCCAATTTGTTTCTCCGGGAGAGAACGTGCTCGCATGAAAGATACGAATAGTTTTTTTTTTTTTGCTGCTGCTGGTCGATTGCACGTTAGTTGTAGAAGGTACACATCACAGCGCGGCGAATAGGTGTGATTGCGTCGTTCCGAACGTGTGGTGACTTCCATGAGCGGCTACTCAAGGGCAGGGGTGGGGATAGGAGGCGGTGGTGGAGGTGGTGGTGGTGGCGGCGGCGGCGGCGGCGGCGTCGGCGGTGGCGGTGGTAGCGGCGCCAACAGCAATCGAGGGGCACCTGCCTCCCGTGGCCCAGGAGGCGCCCTTCAGGTGGGGCGCCTGTGCCCTCTGTATGCGATGCTACCATGAGACCAGCTTGTCTCTCTCTTTACCCAGCACCAGCTTGTCGCCTGTCGCCTGCCTTCTTCCGTGAATATGGCGCCGGGCCGTACGCCGACTGAGCGTTCCACACCCTGACACACCAGAGGTGAACGCATAGAATATATTCACAAGGTTTTTGCCCTCCTCTGGCCTCTCTCGTTTCCCGCCCGCTGTTCTCATCCCTCTCCTTTTTGGCGCCGCCTTCTGCGCCTGCTGGTTCTGACCTCATCTTGTGCGAGGAAGGGGGGGGGTGCCCACATGGCTGGTACTGTGGCAGCGGCGGCGGGGGCGGGAGCACAACAGTCGGAGTCGGTGGCGGTGTTCAGGAGCCTTGAACTATGCGACCTCCTCAAGCTTGAGATCGGAAATATCACCTCGCAAATGGGGTAAGTTGTGGGGTTGGCCCCGCACAAGCAGCGGTCAACCTTGAATGAGTTTCGTCATGTGTGTGTGTGACGTTTGGGTTTCATCAGTTCATGGCATCTCCTACTTCTCAAAACTGGCGGTGGGGGTGTGTGCGTGTCGACGTATAACGCCGCCGTTCATTGCTGTGAGTCAAGGAAAACTTCCGTGTCGCTCGTGCTTTCCCTGTGGGCGATACAAACGCGTGTCATGTGGTGCTATGCACGGCGGCGGTAAGTTTGTTCTCTCGTGTCGATTGCTTGTAATCGCCATGTGATTGGATGTTATCGTCATACAAAACTATTGACTGCAATGCGTATGACCGGTGGTCGTTGATCAGGGTTTGAAGAGTCGGAGGTTGTTGTGTGTTTGTGTTATCGGTCTGCAAGGTTCGGCCGCCACAGCAGTGCCATGTTTTTCCATACGTATACGTATGAGAGATGTCGAAGCTTGTCGTCACGACGCTGCTGTTGAAAGCTTCATTGCCATGGGGGGCAACAGCGAAACGATGGCAGTGGTGAAGGATGGATTGCCGGTACAAAAGGTGTTGTGTGCATTTATTGCAGCACTTTGGCACAACACCGATCGATCAAGATTCAAGCACGAGATGCAGACGACGACGTGCTGAATTATACCTACAACCCAACGACCGTTCGCATGTGTGAAAAAGACGTCGGTAATACCGCGAGTCGTTTACCTCAAGATCAAGTATATCGTTCCTTAGTGAAAAATCTGTGCCTGTGGACAAGAGCTGTGTCGTTCGAAAACTTTTGTACACGTGCAATCTCTGCAGCCTCTGCCAGCTCTTTGTGGTACCAAGCGAGAAGCTCCCCGCCGTTCTCCCGAAAACCATGATTTTTTTTTTTGTCTTTTTGTGATTCTTGGCTCTTTACATCTGGTAGAGCGCGTGCGGCCAAACATTTGCGGTGTCTCGCTGCTTGCTCCATCCATTCCTCTTTCTATACCCTTTGCACATTCGGAGGAAACCTGGCATCACCTTGTTGTTTTGCCCGTGGGTGTTTGCTCCCTCGTGGTGGTTGGTTGGTAGTTCCTCATTGCTGCTTCAAGTATGAAAAGGTGTCTCGACTGACTTGGAGCAAACCGCGTCTCTGTCCACGCTGGAATGTGTACAGCAGTACCTGGCAAGGAAGCCGTTCGATCAAGTTGTGAATTTTTTCGGAAATTTGGAATCTTCGGCAGCTTGGAAATTTTATTTTGTTTTTATACAAACTGTCGGGGTACATGGTATGTAACTGCTGGTGTCCGTAGCCGTCGGCAAGAGCGAGGTGTTTAAACTCAAAGGCACCAACCGAAACCACCCTGCTCTCGCCCGCCGCCTTGGCACGGCAAGAACGGAGGTGGAGATCGTGGCGTGGAAGTGCTTTCTCTCCGACCCCGCCCCCTTCACAGCCATCTTTTTTTTCCTGGCAAAAAGTTAAAGACGTTGTGTGCATCAGCTGCCTCTCGTGCGTGTGCTGGTGCACCGCCGCCTTTTGGGATTTTGCTTCGGGAAAGATTGGTTGATTATTCGATTACTTGCCGTTGATGGCCCACATGAGCGTGCCTGCTGGAAGCACCCGGGGTACATGCACATTCAGCCTCAATCGCCGGAAGGAGACCTCTGCTGATTTTGCTACTCATTGCTCCACACGCCCCCCCCCCCCCCCCCCCCCCCCCCCCCCCCCCCCCCCCCCCCCCCCCCCC